AATGCCCAGTCAGACCCTAGGCCACAGAGTACCTGTGAAGGTGGCACCAGAGTGCTTCTGGGACAACACGGAGGCTGGATTTACCACACTGTTGAAAACTGAGCAATCTGCAAACCTCCAGAGGACACCACACATGGTTAAAGGATTTCTGAATACACATGAATGCCAAAACAAGAAAGAGAAAGAAGCGCAAGAAGTTGCTTTTCACTTTCCTCAACCTTCCACAAAAAGCCTCCAGTGTGAGGCTTTTTGCTTCATGAACAAGAAACTCAGAACCATCTTCTCCAGAGCCATTCTGCCTGCCCCAGAGGCTTTTCTGTGCTTGTTTTATTTGCTTATCCCCAAGTCTGACTCTTACCCTGAATGGCTCGGCATCATTTTCTGGTCTCCATTGCAGGACTCAGTGCCAGGACCTCTAATTCTGACCAATTTTACTCACATGGAGAGTCTCCTTGTCTTCACTGAACACGGAACTACCTGCAAACAGTGCAGTCGCACGGTCACAGGATCAGGCCCTTTGCTTTATTTTGGTAAACAATTTATTGGAGTTTACCCGATGTGTAGAGGACTGGATAATTACCTGCCAAAGGCATACAGCACTGCAGAAATTCTATACGTAAATCACTTCCAGTTATACTGGCTGTCGCTTTCTGTGTTTGAAGGTAAAGGCAGAATGATCAGAGCTCATTCTGTTATCATGGATTTGCTAAATCAGGTTGAAATTTCCTGAAAAAAACATTTATCTTCTATTTCTCAGAGAATCCCACACACTCCTAATCCTTGCTGAGAACTGCAATGATAGAAGAAGAAGAAGCCACCTCCCAGCATGTGCTCCCGCCTGACCAGTAGGTGTTGTCCCATAGTTTGGGAGATGCTTCAATAAGCCGATCAATTCCAGGCTGGAATACGTAAATGCCACTGCCTTGCACTACACAACACCTAACAATCCAGATCTCTCTGCAGTCAGTGGAACCGTTTGTGTAGGAGACCATTACTCATTGATGGCATCTGAACTGTGGGAGATGGGAGCATTTCCCAGATCCTGGCTCAAAGTAAATACCTTGTCCTTGTCCTTCTCCAGGCTGGGGTGGTATCTGGATGTGCATCAGCCTCCTCTGGTTTCCCCTGGAAGGAGCCTGGGCCTTCAGGAGTGGGGTGAGCTGTGTCACTGTCCCCACTATGGGTGAGCTGGGACACTGGGGAGCACATCTACTTCATAGCTTAGTCACGGCCAAAGAGAGTAATAAATAGGAATAGCTTGTCATTGGGTTTTTCCTATGTGCTTTCATGAAAAAAAAGAGTTGAAAAGTGAATTACAACAATTCAGCACTGAAGGGTAAGTGTGTGCAGTTCTACTGCCAAATTTCCTCACTTGCACCCATTAAGAATGAAAGAACAAGTCAAATAATACAATGGAAAAGGTTTTTATTTCTGATATTTGAGCTGTGCCAACTTACTGTAAGGATGAATTTAGGCAGCAATGTATTCTCTAAAGCTTAGCCCTCTTCTGTTATCTCGAATTGTGTTCTGCTTTTTTCTAAATGGAATATGCCCTCTGTGGAATAACTAAACATATCTGTACAAAACTGAGAAAGAAATCATTTTATGAAATAAACTTGTCTTTCAAAAATTCTTTCTCAACATATAAATTAAACTTTCAAGAAAACTGGATGAAACTGCTTTGCTATTCAGTTTATGCAGACAAGATGAATGTAGCACTTGCACAGCTATTTGTTTTTTAAATCTGGAGATAATGTTCTTTGTAATAAGGATATATTTCCC